TTTCACAAGAAATATTTCACAATTTCTTGAAACAGAAATATTGATATCGTGTGACCTACTTGTGCGCATAAAAATAGTATAAAATTATTTTAAAATACATTATTGATATACTTAAACTCTCAAACCTGTTGAAAATGAATTCAATGAATAATCATGTTGACTCCGAACAAGAGTCAGAAAAACGAATTCTTGACGAGTTTAAAAATCTTAGTAATGAAGAAGCTCACGAGCATGTGCAGCGACGTTTATTAGCTTTAAAACGTAATGTATCTACTCCAAAAGCACCAGCAGATTTTTTAGGATCTGATAATCGTGAATCTTTGATTCCGTTAATGCAAAATACATTGCGTGGAATTCTTGAATCAATGAATGATAGTCGTAAAGAATGTTATATTTTTGATGTCATGCCTGGTAGCGAGACTCAAGTGGACTGGTTTCTTGCACAAGAATTAGAAAAATATATTGGGAAACGAGAGCATCATTTATATGTGATAGAACAAAATAAAAAATTTTTAGATTCATATAAACAGAGAGTGAAATCATACTCTCATCTAAAATTAGGAAAAACTTATGATAAAAAGGTTAAAGATTATTATCAGAAACTTCCAGATGCAAAACCTATGGATTTTATTATTTGTATGGATATATGTTTTTTGTGAGTACATGTTGAGAACTATTTTTCTTGAAAATTATTATTATTTATTTACAATAATTAATTCAAATTTATTATTTTATAACATAAACAAAAAAAAATTATTATTTTAATAACAATTATTTAATAATAGAACTGATTATTATGAAAAAATTGGTCATCCGGAGAATGATATTATTGATTTCGTCAAGTTCCTTTATGGTTTGTTGAGACCTGGTGGCGCTTTATTCCTCACCTACTTGGATCTCGACAGTCCATTCTCTCAGATCAATTCTAATTACTTTAAAGAAAAAGAGAAAGAGAATGATGGAGCAACTCAAAGAATTGCACAAATTACTAAAGCACGAGAAGAATTATTATATAATGGAAATATCGTTAATCATTTAAATAAATTAGATGAATCGAAGAAGACATGCCCGAAAGTTGAATCTCATAAACTTTCTACTTTTTATTATGCTCAAAGTTTGGCTGATGTGGCTGTAATGAGTTTGGATGGAGGATTTTTAAAATATAATAAGGGTAAGTTTGATTATAACCACTTAGAATTTGTGGTAAATAAGGTCAGGGAAGTAGCTTCTACAGATGTTAACAGGGGTGAAAAAAGAGAATTTGGATTATGTAAAGCCGAACGTGGTAGAGATCCTTTATGGAGGGTTGAAAGTTTACAATATGCTTGCATTATTCGCAAGGAAGCTATTAATTAATAGTAATTATAATGTCATTTTATGTATAAATAGAGCCACATATAAATAAAATGTCATTGAATTATATTATGACCGATATGTTTGCTGGTTATTTACTTTACTTTTCTATCTAATTCTTCATCTAATTATACACTTAATTCTTCATTTAATATCGTATCTCTAATTCTACATCTTAATTTTCATAACTCCGAATTATAATCACCAAGATCAGTGAAAGATGGTGATGGTATTACATATTTATTATATTGTACATCCTCGTTGATCTTGTTAACCCACATGACACATCTCATTCATGTGTTTATATTTTGTGTTCCCTTATTAGTAAATAATTTAGGGAACAGGTGTTTCCACACTCTTCGATCACTGCATATTACATAAAGTAAAAATGAAGGGTCATATTGCATTACTCAATTTTTGAGCCGGAGTATTTGATCACACACATCATGATATTGCCATAATTTCACAATACGTAATATATAATTTATAATTTGCAGGGGTGTAGAAATACTTATTTCCTAATTTTATTTTGAAAACCAATTTTTCACGTACTATACAAAATTATAAGTTTACTTCAATACTTCGGATATATGTAAATATATACCGTATAATCGGTTCAGGTGCGCATATACTGAATGGGCCTCCTTCTAAATTTTAGGCACCTACTGTATGTATATATGTAAACAAGTTGTGAATAACAACTACTTGGATATGTTACTTGGCCTATATAGCATAGCTATAGACGCATAGAAATGTTAGAAAGATATTTCCATTTATGAGCTAAAAAATATACATATTCGGCAAAATTTCCTGTCTTCATTTCCAATAAAATACTTTATAAAAAATATACTGGCACTTACCAAACCTGCTTTTTCGTTACTCGATTTTAGTTATAGGTTTACACAATTACCTAACCCACTCTGTTTGATATAAACATTAAGTAAACATTAGTTCATATGAACGTTTCTTTCGAGTCACAAACACGATACCTGGTCATATTTGGTAG